TTAGGTGTGCAGGTGGCACTTTTTAATAACTCCGAGTTTCAAAACTCGATCTTGGTTGAAATATTTGTGAGCAGGTTATCAAGCTGGAGCCATAAACACCATTTATCTCTGCTAGGAAGGGCATTGGTCATCCAGGCTGCAGGCTTGGCAGTATTATGGTTCATACTATCTATACACCTTCTCGATGATAAAGCCTACAAAGACATCAAGAAAGCGGCGGCCAGACTGCTGTGGAAGCCTGAAGCAGAGGAGAACCAAAGTTTTTTCTCTAAAGTGGCGTGGGAGTCGGTGTGTCTTACCAGGGCTGAAGGCGGCCTGGGCTTACTAGAACCAAAACAACATAATATATCTCTGCTGGCCAAATGGCCAGTTAAAGCCTTACTGGAAGATCCCCGGTCCCCCTGGCTATCCCTGACCATCTATATACTAAGTACTGAATGGAATCTGAGTAGACCAGAGAATGCATTGGCTTGCCTACTAATTCGCTCTTATGTTAATCGAAAAGTGAGATCGATATTCTGGAGCAATATTCTGACCGCCTGACAGAAATTATTTCCATCAGAAAGAGAGAGCCCTAACACTAAGGAGTCAGTCCTGAATCAGATTCTATTTGAGAACCCCCTAATAGTGAATGTCGCAGGAACCCCCTTCTCAGCTTATGACTCAGCCGGGAACTTTGGGAGAGCGTGGGTAGAAAAAGGGATAGTGCGGGTTAGGGACATATGGGATGAGAGGGGTAAGAAATGAAAGGAAACGACTCTAATCGAAGACAAACTGGGGAGACTCAGACATGTTGCTACCAGATTGGAGGAAATCCAGAAGGCCATCCCTCATAGTTGGATTGTATTGCTGACCGAAACTGTAATTCCGGGGGGAGGACTGTGGTTAATGTCACAACCCCAGCAAGACTCGGTGCTTCAAATCACAGATGAGCTGGGAGACGAGGGATGGGCAGCACCGGCCAACAGACTTCGCTTATAGCAAGACCCTGGTGGAAGGGGAAAAACTGAGGTTGTCCTCCTTGAAAGGCTACTCAGAAGTAATAGTGAGAACAAGAACCCAGAGACTGCAGGGGGGAGGTCCCCTGATTACGGTGGCCTCCCTCCCGGTCGGTCTGATACCCTTGGTGAGTGCTCCTTCAGACTGTCGGAAACTTGGATGGTGGCATACCCAGAAACAGAGAACATTGGGGCTAGATCAGTTCTCAACAAAAGAAGGTACGAGATGGTTAAGGAAAAAAGTGAAGAAACCTCCATTAGAGGTGGTAGCCAAGCGGAGATTGAATCAAGGATGTTTGCAACTATCGGAAGAACAACTGTACTCCCTTTGGACGCACTTCAAGCAGCTACCTTCACAACGTTTATCAAGTATTATGTGGCTGCAGTCCATGATGGCGACACCCTCAGCGGTATGCCTGGTATCCAAGGGGATGGACATCCCTGCCAGCTGTGTACGCTGTAAGTGGATGTGGGAAGACTCGTGTCATCTATGGTTGACTTTCCCGGCCTCGAGAAGAATCTGGGATTGGTAGATACAACATTGGGATAGGATCACGAATAGGAAATTTACCTGATCTGACGAGTGGATTCCGAATGGCACCCACAATGTTGCAAACTCGGAAGAAAAGAAATGGTTGTACGTAGCTCAGGCAGTCCGGGCTATCATTATGAAGATAATTTGGGATGACAGAAATTATCAACTCTTGAAAAGCAGGTTTATATCGGACAACGCTATTAAACCACCAGTACCTCGCTCAGTGTTCGGCCGCAGGCCTTCCTGTATACGCGCCGCAGCCTCAGGCTGGTCAGCCAAGGGCAGGCCCGGTCGTAGCGCCAATGCCGGGCCCCGCTTCTGTAGGGACGACACACGATCAAAAAAGAAA